AGCATCTTTCAATTAGTTCTCTGCCTGGAAGGCTGTTCTTCTTTCATGTGCTACCTCTTCCTGAAATGGTTTCTTGATAATAACAGCAAACACATAGGATTTGCTTCATACCAGCTACACTTCTAAATGCTTTATTAAATGTACTTAATTCTCACCAGAACCGTTTGAGATAGGTACCGTTATAGTCTCCACTTTAGATATAAAGAAACATAAAGGCAGAGTTGTTAAGAAACTTACTCAGGGTCACTGGTAAGTGGTAGAGATGAGGTTATGAACCACAGCAGCCTGGCTTGAGTGTCTGCTCTTCATCATGACTCTGAGCATAATGATCCCTAGACCTTGCCGTTAGTATCCCAAGCACTTGCTACCAGAGAAGTAGCTGCACTGCTCTCTAGTCATGTTTGTAAGCCTTCTCTCTTTCCATGCTCTCTAACTCCAGTTAATGACAACACTCAGCCAAAGCATTAATTTTTCCCCCGTAGTCTTCCTGATCCTCCTCCCGTAACCTAGGGGAGGTGAATCTTCCACTGCTCACACCATGTTTCTCTCTGCTAGATCCCTTATCACACCACGTGTCTTGTTTACCTGTCTGCCTCCCCATTAGTCTGTGAGCTCTGAAGTTTTGAAGGCACGAATGGTCTCAATAACACAGTATCTGGCATACAGAACTGTTGCTTACTAAATATTTGTCTGTTTGATGGATGGCCACTGGTGCTAAGAAGTCTTCATTTTGCAACTCTGGCTTCTAGCTTTTACTGGTAGATTAAGAACAAAAGGGGTTCCATCACAAATCCTGGGAGAATCATGACAAATGCTTACCTTCAGTTCAGAAAGAAGAAAGACTATTTATAGCTCAGGGGCTCAACATTAAATGACCCATACTTAATTTTTCCTCATGACCTAGATTTATAGAACTTTAGATGGAAAGTGCCCTTGGAGATCATTTTGTCCAGATATTGCAAACTGATGGCCTAGAGTTGTTTTTTATTTGATATATGTTATTTGTTTCTATTTTTACTAGAATACCTTTAGGCAGGACATGTGCTTTTTATTTCTCCACTTTCTACATCATATCCTATCATATACTTTACTCATTTGTATCATTCACCTGACCTTTCAAAGCATTTGAGTATGAAATGTCTGAATTAGTCTAACCCATTTTTTTGGTCTTCCTTGACAGTAAAGTTCCCAAGTCTGTATGCAGGGTCTCCAATTTTCTCATAACTCATTCCAGTCAGGTGTTCTCCCACCCTCTACTGATGTGTAGATTGATTTCCATGTACCAGTGTACCAATCATGTACCAATGATTTCCACCTTGCTAAATCCAGTTCCTAGCTTGAATCTCAGCCCTTCCTTCTTGATGCTCAGGACCATACTCGTCTGGTTTCCCCCCACTTTTCTGGCCTCTCCTTCTCTGTTTTCTTTGCTGATTTCTCCTCATACTCTTGACTTCTAAATGTTGGATGCTCCCAGATGCAGCTCGTGGCCTGCTTCTCTTCTGGATCTACTCTTACTCCTTTGGGGATCTTGCACAGGCTTGACTTTAAATACTGCCCACATGTTGACATTTCCTCAGTGTACATCTCCAGCCCATTCGGTTGTCTAGTGGCCCTGTCAAACTTAATATGTCTAAAAACAAATTTGCCAATTTCTTCCTTTTTTTTGAGATGGAGTCTTGCTCTGTTGCCCAGGCTGGAGTGCAGTGGTGCAATCACAACTCACTACAACCTCCACCTCCTGGGTTAAAGTGCTTCTCCTGCCTCAGCCTCCTGAGTAGCCAAGGCTGTAGGCACATGCCACCACCACACCCAGATAATTTTTGTACTTTTAGTAGAGACAAGGTTTCACCACGTTGGCCAGGCTGGCCTTGAATTCCTGACCTCAGGTGATCTGCCTGCCTCAGCCTCCCACAAACTGCCAATTTCTACCCCAAACCTGCTCTTCTTAACAGTTTTCCTTATCTCAGTTAGGAATATATCTGGGCCACCAGTTGCTCAGGCCAAAATCCGTGGGCTTATCCCTCATTGCATCTTTTCTATGTGACATGGTTTGGGAATTTTGTCCTCTTCAAGTCCCATGTTGAAATGTAATCCCCAGTGTTGAAGGTGTAATCTGGTGGGAGGTGTTTGGATCATGGGAGGTGGATCCCTCATGGTTGGCTTAGCACGATCCCCTTGGTGATGAGGGTGATGAATGAGCTGTGAGATCTGGTTGATTGAAAGTGTGGCATCTCCCTCCTCTCTCTCACTCCTGCTATTGCCATGTGACATGCTGGCTTCTTGCCACCTTCAGCCATGATTGTAGGCTTCCTGAGGCCTCAGGAGAAGCACATGCCAGCACCATGTTTCCTATAAAGCTTGCTGATCTATGAGTCTACCAAACATCTTTTCTTTATTAATTATCCAGCCTCAGGCATTTCTTTATAGCAATACAAGAACAACCTAACACACTTTCATATGCCATATACAAGTCCTCAGCAGTCATTTGTACTCCAGTTCTCCAGTGCCTCCCTTGTTCTTTCAGAGTGAAAGTCAAATAAAATCTTCACAGTGGTCTCAAGGAACCTACTCCTTCCTTATTCCTATCCCTATCTTTATTTCTCAGACCCCTATTCCTACCACTAATCCCCCTTATTGACCTGCCTTCACCCCACTGGCCTCCCTTCACTCTTGAGTGAACATGCCAGGCATTCTCCTACTTGGAGCGTTTGCATTTGCTGTTCCTTCTGCCTGGAACACCTCCACCCTGCCCTTCCCCACTCCCCAGGTATCTGCATGTATCCGCAAGGGTTGCTTCCTCATTTCCTTCATGACTACTCAAATGAACCTCCTCACTGGCTTTTCTTAACCACCCTATTTGAAATAGACTCCCCTAAGCCAGGATGATTTTTTATCCCTCCGTTCTTCTTTATTTTTCTCTGGAGCACTTTTATCACCCTCTAATATACTATATATTTTACTTACCTATTTTGTTTCTCTTCCTACTAGAATGTAAGCGCAATGAGGACAGGTGTGTTTGTCTTCTTTGTTTACTGCTACATTCTCAGCATCAGAATAAGGCTGAGAACTTGTTATGGGTTGAATTATGTTCTCCCCACTACCTCCAGTAAGTTCCAGTGACCTTATTTGGGAATGAGGTCATTACAGATGTAATTAGTTAAGATGAGGTCAAAGTGGAGTCAAGTGGACCCCAATCCAATATGACTAGTGTTGTTAGAGAAAGAATAGCATGTGAAGACGAGATATCCACAGAGGGAAGATGATGTGAAGACATACGGGGAGAAGATGGCCATCTGCAAGCCAAGGAGAGAGATCTGGAGCAGATCTCTGAGACGTGATTTCAGATTTCTAGCCTTCAGAACTGTGAGAGAGTAATTTTTTTTTTAGACAGTTTCTCGCTTTTTTGCCCAGGTAGGAGTGTAGTCCCAGCCTCCTGAGAAGCTGGGACTATAGGCACGTGTCACCATACCCAGCTACATTTTTGTATGTTTAGTAGAGATGGGGTTTCGTCACGTTGGCCAGGCTGGTCTTGAATTCCTGATCTCAAGTGATCCACCTGCCTTGCCTCTCCTAGTTCTCGGATTACAGGCATGAGCCATCACACCTCACTGAGATGATACATTTTTGTTTGGGCCAACCTGGCTGTGATACTTTATCATTGCAGTCCTAGCAAACTAAGAAAATATTCTCAAGAAAAATGTATGTTTGAATAAATGAGTGAATGAATCCTTTCAATGAAGAAACCAAAGCCCAGTGAAGTTGATTAACTTGCCAGAAACACACAGTGGTGAACGGACAGAAACAAGACTCAAATCCAGCTTTCCCGCCACCCCATCTAGCTCTCAGCCATAACGTCTTGATGCCAAGTCAGTCTGTCTCTGGGCTGAGGCTGAGGGGGATCTCCGGAGCCTTTCACCATCTCTCAGGTCTTGCTTATCCTGCCTTCCTACTTAACACCGCCACCACCATCACATATCCTGGATATGTCATGGCCAGACAATTATCGATGTATGTTTGCTAAGTGTTCTGATCTCCTCTCAGAGGAAAATCCTGTGTTTGACTCTTCTATTATTCAGGAGGTAATAAAATTTATAGTCATAATATATAAGAAAAAAGAATGATTCACTGCTGAGCTACTGAGCCACAGGGAACAATCCAAGGTTTAGAACAGACAATTGGCTAAGATCAGTCACAATGATGTCACAGCAGAATATACAAATACCTTAGTGGGCTGATCCAAGAGAACATCACAATTAAATCAGCTTACTGCTGAGCACTCTTCCACATCTGTGAAGAGCTGCTCTCCATTCTGACAGCCACGTTTAAGGAGGTGGTGGAGGCGGCAGTCTATCCAACACGCTCCACACAGGAAGAAATGATTGCAAAGTGCTACTGAGTAAATGAACATCATTCACATGAAAATGCTCTGGAAGGGATCATACATGCTAAGACGCTTAACATACAGGTCAGGAAGAATGTTTTCTTTTCAGAATGGAATTACAGTATGACATTGGGCATGGGAAACTGATGACAGCCATCAGGGGTGATATTCAAAATGTTTAACAAAATATCGACAGCATAAGCCATCAATGGCCGATGCAGCCTTATCAGTGCAGAATGGTTGAACATGGTCCAGTGAAACTCACTTGGCTGGAATAGCAGAGATGCCCTTAACCTCTCCGACCCTTGGTGTAGTTTTTTCATTGCAGAGTGAGGCACCACCCCTTATTTTCTAGTGTTGTTACAAAGGTTAAGAAAAAAATCTTTGCTACAATGCCTGGTACACATCAGATTCCCAGTAATAAGGGCAAATATTCATATGTCTTTATTATATATCAGGTATTAGCAAATGCTAATTTACTTAACCCTTACTACAGCCCTAGTATTCAACTATTTTTTTTTTTTTAGACAGGATCTCACTCTGTCACCCTGGCTAGAGTGCAGTGGCACAATCACAGCTCACTGCAGCCTCGACCTCCCGGGCTCAAGCGATCCTCCCATCTTAGCCTCCCAAGTAGCTGGTACTACAGATGTACACCACCATGCCCAGCTAATTTTTAAATTTTTTATAGAGACAGGGTCTCACTATGTCACCCAGCTGGTCAAGAACTCCTAGGCTCAAACAATTATTATTACCATTTTACAGTTAGAGACATTGAGGGGCTAAGCAACTTTCTCAATGTCACACTGCTAGTGAATGGCAAGACACGGTCTTAGGACTCGGGTAGTCTGAATCCCAGGGGCTCATTCCCCACCCTATGCTATCCTCAGGAAATGTCAGGGCCCACCCCTCCCACGGTATGCTCCAGAGGGCTAGTGTCCCTGCAAGCTCAACATCTCATTGCATCCAAGTCCCAGTTAAAGCCCAGTGGAGAGGACATCACTCTCTGGTCCTTCAGTGCCTCGGCCCTTCTTTCTAGGTTTGCTCAATTTCCATTTGCATGAAGACAGAAAACAAAAACAGTCCAATTAATACAAAAGGTAAAACCACAAGTTGAGAAGGCTTTTGCTTTGCTTTTTATTTTTTATCGGATGAACTACTCTGAGTATTTGGGATGAAAAATTATTTACCCTAGTTAATGAATCTCATGATAATAAAAACGCCTGAAGGCTCTGAGATTAGTGAGTAGCCCTTATCTGGGTACCACTTAGTGAGGCAAATCCTGCATGAACAAAGGATGAATGCGATTTGGGAGAATGAGGAGGAAGGGAGGCTAAGAATGAACATGTGTTTTGCAGACATCTCATGCCAGGCATCACACAGGGTACTCAACCCTCATTCTTTCTTTTAATTCTTATGAGAACTCAATCTTTCTACAAACACTTATAGGTGTTGGGGTTACAAAATTAAACAAATCATGGTCCCTGCCCTTTTAAGCAGAATGGATACAGAAAATAAGCAGAGGGGCCATTTATGTTCATTGCAATATTATTTTGATATGAATATATACAGGCAGTGAAACTATGCTATACAGGCCAAGACGATACCTACCATGTCAATAGTTCCTGCATAAGAACTATTTCCTATGTAGGCAGCTGTGTTCTGGGCTGGGTGATACCACCCCTGCACCTCCCCAGGGTCCCTCAGGCCCTTCACGGAGGTAAGTAGACTAGAGGAGTGAGATTTTCCCTCTCTTAGGAGTTTACAGTTGGAAGCAGGGAGAGAATCAGGCAATTGGTTGTGGGAACAGAAACTGAGAAGATTATCTAAAAGAAGAGGTGAAGTACAGTAGAGTGGGGCTAGGTAGGACCATGTGTAAGTAGCAGCTATGTATATGCAGAAGATATGAGGCACAAAAACACTGAGCAGAATGTGAGGAGACTACGTCGTAGCAGGAAGAGAAATGCATAGAAGCAGAGGATACTCTAACCAATGTATGCCCCACAATTTATTTAATCCTTTCCTCAATGTTAGATCATTCTCATTTTTTCCTGTATTACAAGGAATCGTATGATGAATATCCTTGCACATCAGTATTTGTAGCGTTTCTGATGAGTTTCTTTAATATATTCTTGGATTAAATGGTACGCACATTTTTTTCCCATTTATTTATTTTATTGCATTTTAGGTTTTGGGGTACATGTGAAGAACATGCAAAATTGTTGCATAGGAACACATGTGGCAGTGTGATTTGCTGCCTTCCTCCCCATCACCTACATCTGGCATTTCTCCCATTGCTATCTCTCCCCAGCTTCCCACCCCCCACCGTCTCTCCCCTATTTCCCCCCAACTGACCCCAGTGTGTAGTGCTCCCCTCCCTGTGTCCATGTGTTCTCATTGTTCAACACCCGCCTATGAGTGAGAACATGCGGTGTTTGATCTTCTGCTCTTCTGTCAGTTTGCTGAGAATGATGGTTTCCAGGTTCATCCATGTCCCTACAAAGGACCCAAACTCATCGTTTTTGATGGCTGCATAATATTCCATGGTGTATATGTGTCACATTTTCCCTATCCAGTCTGTCGTCGATGGGCATTTGGGTTGGTTCCAGGTCTTTGCTATTGTAAACAGTGCTGCGATGAACATTCGTGTGCACGTGTCCTTATAGTAGAACGATTTGTAATCCTTTGGATATATACCCAGTAATGGGATTGCTGGGACAAATGGAATTTCTATTTCTATGTCCTTGAGGAATCGCCACACTGTCTTCCACAATGGTTGAACTAATTTACACTCCCACCAACAGTGTAAAAGTGTTCCTATTTCTCCACATCCTCTCCAGCATGTGTTGTCTCCAGATTTTTTAATGATCGCCATTCTAACTGGCATGAGATGGTATCTCAATGTAGTTTTGATTTGCATTTCTCTGATGACCAGTGATGATGAGCATTTTTTCATATGTTTGTTGGCCTCACGTATGTCTTCTTTTGTAAAGTATCTGTTCATATCCTTTGCCCACTTTTGAATGGGCTTGTTAGTTTTTTTCTTGTAAATCTGTTTTAGTTCTTTGTAAATTTTGGATATCAGCCCTTTGTCAGATGGGTAAACTGCAAAAATTTTTTCCCAATCTGTTGGTTGCCGATTCACTCTAATGATTGTTTCTTTTGCTGTGCAGAAGCTGTGGAGTTTGATTAGGTCCCATTTGTCTATTTTGGCTTTTGTTGTCAATGCTTTTGGTGTTTTGGTCATGAAGTCCTTGCCTACACCTATGTCCTGAATGGTTTTGCCTAGATTTTCTTGTAGGGTTTTTATGGTGTTAGGTCTTATGTTTAAGTCTTTAATCCATCTGGAGTTAATTTTAGTGTAAGGTGTCAGGACATTTTAACGCTCTTGAGACAAGTATGCATCGTTATTTCCAGGAAGATAGTACTAATTTCCCACACCCTTCAGTGTTATGTGAGCGAGTCTACTGTAACACATTGACTCACACTGAGTCTTGGTCAGTTAAACAGGGAAAGGTAGTAACTACCTTTTTAATTGTTTAATTATTAATTGCATGTTTTTCATATGTTATGGGACATTTATATTTCCTCTTTTGTGACTCCAGCTTGTTTACGTCTTTGTGCATTTGCCTACTGGGCCATTTATAATGTTCTTATTGATGTATAAGAAATCAATAAAATTTATATAACAAGACCAATACTCACTGATGTATTTTGCAAACATTTCCCCATAATTTGTTGTTTGCCTTTTCATTTTTATTGGAGGCACAAAAATTTTATATTTTTCAATATATTGATATTTTCCTTTGCAATTTGTTTCAAAGGGTGTCTTTGGCTGAAAAAATATTTTTCTGCTTTCCAGATCAAGAAAATATGTGGCTCTGTTTCTTTTCCTGCTTTTGGAAAATGTTTTTGTTTTCATATTTAACTCTTCTATTCATTTACAATTTATTTTGATGTATTTGAAGCTTTATGAAAGAAGATTTTGTACAAAATTAAAAAAGAGGATGGTGTGATCCTGTTCCAGAAAAATCTAATCTGTGTTAATGCTGTGTTAATGCCCCAGTAGAATCAACCATCGATAACTTCCAATCACCAATGCAATGAATTGAGCACACAAAGACTCATTTAGGTACATAATGAGGGAGAACATATGACCAAGGGTGGAGATGCCTTCATTTGCGCTCTGTACACAACCTACTCTTACTAAATGGAAATTACGGTCACTGAATAACTAAGTAACTCAATCTACCTAAACTCTTACAAGGAATCAGAAGCCCTCAATTCTTAAGCTGGGTCTGTTCTGACACTTAAATACACCGTACCTCCTTGACCCTAACAGCCACTTTCCAATTGCCTGTCTTTCAAAACTATCTAATTAAATTTCTTTAAAAAGAGAACATTTTGTCATTTGTGAGGAATTCTTCTTTTCTTTTTAAGTTTGCTCTTAACTGAAAAACCAAGGCAACTTCAACTTTATTTTTCCTAGGGTCCCTTTCCAAGCCGTTATGATTGAATGGAAGCTGTGTGGTTGGTGAAAGCCTTTGGCTATATTTCCAAAAATACACAATTGTTAGTGGCTACAATGCAACAGCCAGTTTCAGAGGCTAGCAAAAGGCAGGGGGATACTCTCAAGAGTGGCTACTCTCTAGACTTGCCATTTTAACAACTTCAGGAATTGCGGAAAGTTCACTAACTCAACACTGAGTTCTCTGAAAGTGACAGTGTATTAGTTTGCTAGGTCTGCCATAACAAAGTACGGGGAATTGGGTGGCTTACACAACAGACATTTATTTTCTCAGAGCTCGGGGGACCAGATATTCAAGACAGCAGCACTGGGGAGAAAGTCTGTTCCGTGCCTCTTTCCCAGCTTCTGGTGGTGTGCAGGCAATCTTTGACATTTCTTTGCTTGCAGAAACATGACCACAATATTTGTCTTACTCTTCACATGGAATTCTCTGTAAAGCCACACTATTTGCTTAGATTGTTTGAAGAAGGCACTTTCAGATGTGTTCCAGAGGCTGGGCACCTTGATCTAGATCAAACGCTGCCAATTGTTGGTTGAAGGTAAGTGTAGACATGCATCTATTCCAAAAGCCAAAATATTACTGCATTAGTCTGTTTTCATGCTGCTGATATAGACACACCTGAAACAGGGTAATTTGTACCAGAAAAACGGTTTAATGGACTTACAGTTCCAAGTGGCTGGGGAGGCCTCACAATCATGGTGAAAGGAAAGGAGGAGCAAGTCACATCTTATGTGGATGGCAACAGGCAAAGAGAGAGCTTGGGCAAGGAAACTCCACCTTACAAAGCCATCAGATTTTGTGACACTTACTCACTATCACAAGAACAGCATGGACCTGCCTCCATGATTCAGTTACCTCCCACCAGGTCCCTCCCACAACACGTGGGAATTCAAGATGAAATTTGGGTGGGGACACAGCCAAACCATATAAATTACTAAGCACACAGAACAATTTATAAGTCTTGGTTCATGTACCTTAACAACTTTTTCTAGCCAGAAGTAGCTCGCTGACTTGCAATCAAATCTCCCTAAAGTCTTATCTTTAAATTATCAATCTCAATGCATATATTACAGCTGAAAATTTGCTATTTTCCTAAGAGTGGAG